TATATATTATACTTTTAATTTGTCTTTCTATATAAAGTAGCTTCATACTTATATGGTTTTATGATTATTTGTATATTTTAATAATTAAATTTTTAAACAATAAATAACAGTGAAACGTTTAATATTTATAATATTTCATAATTTTTCTAAAAATTTCAAATTCAAAATTTAAATTAAACTATTAGGTTTTCACCATGTTTGACAAGGTACAAGATATATCGCATATGGTTTTTCGAGTTGTTCCTCTTCTGATGCAGCTTTACATAACACTGACTAAGATATCACTCTCTTCTTCATCACTATCTCCTGTGAACACAATACAGAGGAATGAGGACAAAAAACTTAATGCAAAGAATAGAAAAACAAAACCAAACTATGACTTACAATTAGGCATGTTGTTATGGGTTTAAGTATTTAGGGTAGTACCAGCCCATTACAAATTTTAAAAGCCCTTACCCTTAAGCTTTAACTGTAAATAATTATGGGCTCATTTAGGGTAGGATTAAAAAATAAAGGGTTTTAACAGGGCTGAGCCCAAAACGAAACTAAAAAAAACTCAGTTTTACCCTATACGCTCTCCTCTCCTCTTTCTCAGATCTCGACGCTCAAAGAAGAAAAACACAAAGCTTACCCTATACGATCTCCTCTCCTCTTTCTCCGATCTCATCTCAGCCTCTCTCTCGGATCTCGTCTCGAATCTCCCTCATCTCGAATCCTCGAAGCTCCCTCATCTCGAATCCTCGAAGCTCCCTCATCTCGAATCCTCGATCCTCTCAGCTCATCTCACTCTCAAAGCTCTCTCATCTCGACCCTCTCAGGCTCTCAAAGGTCTTTCAAACTCAGACTCACGAATAACTTGAGGTAACATTTGATTTTTTTGATGGGTTTGTAACGTTTAGATTGTAGGGTTTATTAGCTTATAAGGACGCTTCTGATTTGATTATAGGATTGATGGGTTTGTAAAGTTAAACTTCTCAGGTTCGATTTGATTATAGGATTGATGGGTTAATGGGTAGGATTGTTTTTTTTTTTGCAGATATTTACAGCATCAAAGATTCACGTTCCTGATACATGGCAGATGCCTCAGGTGAATACACTCTTTAGCTCTTTTAGTACTTTGATTGCTCTGTAGTGCCTCACTTGTCACTAAGCAAAAGCTATCTTTGTAGTGTAATGAGTTAAGTAAATATCTTTATAGCTTTGGATTAAAGTTATGACAATGTTTAATCAAATATAGAATGACATTGAGGTTCTCTGAGTCCCTATGGTGATAATTAACTCACTGAGGATGTGATAGATTTTGATAAAAGTAGCTTGGAATGTAGAATCATAAGTTTATGATACTTTGTTAATGGGTCTCTTTAAGAGCTATCACGTCTACTATGTCTTTCCTGAGACTAGAGATGTACTTTGTATATTGGTTCGTCTAATGTATATTGAAGTTTGTTCTATAGAGAAGCTGAATAGTCTGTAGAAGTCTGATGTATATTGAAGTCTTGGTTCGTCTGATATGTAGTAGTCTGTAGAAGTCTGAGTTATTTTTGTGTACCGAAGAGTGATGTATTATTGTGTACCGAAGAGTGATGTATTATTGTGCTTGAATTTTGGGAAGTTTCAGTGCTCATTTTGAAAAGTTTCTTTCTTTTGTTCTATGTGTTCAGTGCTGCTACAAACTCAGAGACTGGAGAGGAAGAACATATTTGATAAGCTTCTCTTAATATAGGTAACGCTTTAAGTTCGCTTTAAGTTCGCTTTAAGTTCTAACGTGTAAGTAACTGGTGTATTAAACTTATTTGATATGATAGTATGATACTAACCTATACCAATTCTTTTATTTTTTACTGAATCTAATATTCTTCCTCTGTAATTTAAGGTAAAAAAAACTTTGTTTTTTTCTTAGCATAAGCATTGAATACTTTGTTTTATGTGTTGATCCTTTGTGATGGAATCTTAGGCTTTTAATTTCAGTCTGCTTACTGGCTTTTCTCGTTGGATATATTTGTTACAGAGTTTTTTTTTTGTTTGATCTTAGTGTAGGTTTTAATGAATCATGATTGGAGTTTTTTTTTGTTTGATCTCAGTTCTGGTTGTTCATTGCTTTTTCGTTAACACGTTCTGTATTTTCATGTGATTCCTGATGAGCTTATTTTTTTTTTGTATTGACTTTCAGCTACTGATACTATGGATTTCCAGTCACTTGAAACAATTGCTGCTTTGGATGCTGGGAATGAGTACATAGAGGTGCAGTCGGCTGTTGGTGAAGAAGAACCTCATGCGCCAACACTAAGCGTCACTCAGCAGCCACTTCAACCGCCACTTCAACCGGTACGTAAAAAACGGGCTAAATGCTGGGAAGATTTTACACATATAGGACTAGAGGCTGATGGGAAAGAAAGGGCTAGGTGTAATCATTGGTTTTAAGATGGTAGCAGAAAAAACACATGGAACATCATCTCTAAACCGCCATTCAAAGAATTGCCCCGCTAAGCTTAGGTCTGATTCTCCTAAATATGATCACATAGCTGATAGAAAGAAGATGTCTGAGATCATTATATATCATGACTTACCTTTTAAATATGTTGAATATGAAAAAGTGAGAGAGAGGGATAGATTTCTTAACCCTGATGTTCAGCATATCTGTAGACAAACTGCTGCATCAGATGTGTACAAGAGATATGAGATAGAAAAAGCTAAGTTGATAGAGGTTTTGGCGAATCACAAGGGTAGAGTGTGTTTTACAGCAGATTTGTGGACTGCTCGTAGTGTTGTGATGGGATATATATGTATTACTGCGCATTATATTGATGAGAATTGGAGGTTGAATAATAAGATTTTAGCATTTTGTAATCTTAAACCTCCTCATAGTGGTGAAGCGATTGCTAAGTCTGTTTATGATTGCTTAAAGGGTTGGGGACTGGAGAAGAAAGTATTTAGTATCACCCTAGATAATGCTAAAGCCAATGATAATATGCTAAATATTCTTAAGCATCGTCTTCTAAGTAGCAGTGGGAGTAGCAATGGGCTGTTGTGTAATGGAAAGTTCATGCATGTTAGATGCTCTGCACATATTCTGAATCTGATTGTGAAAGCTGGATTAGATTTAGCCACGAGTCTGATAGAGAATATAAGAGAGAGTGTAAAGTTTATCAAAGCATCCGAGTCAAGGAAAGACTCTTTTGCTCTCTGCGTTGAGAGTGCTCGGATCACAAGTACTGCAGGTTTATCTCTAGATGTCTCTACCAGGTGGAATTCAACATATGAAATGTTGGCGAGGGCTTTAAAATTTAGAGATGCATTTGCTACTCTGAATCTGTATGAAAGAGGTTACAAATGGCTGCCTTCAAAAGCTGAGTGGGAACGTGGAGTCAAGATATGTGACTTGCTGAAGCCTTTCAATACCATCAGTACTTACTTTTCAGGAGTAAAATATCCAACTGCCAGTGTCTACTTCATTCAGGTGTGGAAGATCGAGCTGATGTTAAAGAAGTATTCTGATTGTGAAGATGATGTTGACCTGAGTACAATGGTTAGGGCAATGCGAAAGAAGTTTGCAAAGTATTGGAATCAGTACAGTGTGGTTTTAGCTATGGCGGCTGCTCTAGATCCTAGGTTGAAACTGGATATACTTCGATCAGCTTATGAAAGGATTGATCCAAGGACTTCTGAGGCAAAGGTTAAAGTTGTTAGGGATAACCTTGTTTCACTCTATGAGGAATATCATAAATCAGTGAATCCTCCAAGGTTTTCTGCATCATTAACTCCTCATGAGCTTCTCACAGAGTCACCCCTGGAGGATTATATGGATGATGTAAGTTCTTCAAACTCTTCTCATTAATTCTTGTTAAATAAAAATAGAAAGTTCTCTCACTGGTTTGTGTGGTTTTGTATATAACAGGATCTCTTTGAACTTGAAAATAGCCTCAGGTCTAGTTCAAGTAATGCCAAGTCAAATCTGGAAACCTATTTGGATGTTGAACCAAGACTAGAGATGAAGACTTTTGAAGACATAGATATTCTGAGTTTTTGGAAAGAAAATCAGCATAGATATGGTGATCTAGCATCAATGGCATCTGATATACTGAGCATACCCATCACTACAGTAGCAGCCGAGTCAGCATTCAGTGTAGGAGGAAGAGTTTTGACTCCTTTCAGAAACCGGCTCCTGCCCAAAAATGTGCAAGCACTAATTGCTACTCGAAACTGGCTAAGAGGATTTGCAGATTTTGAAGGTAAAAGTTCCATTATTAATTTACAGAAATAGATTTCTTATGTTGTGTAACTAACTTGTATTCATTAAGTTGCAGGAGATATTGAAGATTTTTTTGATGAAGAAGATGATGAATCTGCAAATAGTAACTCTGAAGTTGGAGATTCTAGCGCATGAAGGTAATAAATCTGGTTTTGTGATTCATTTTGATTAACTTGCTGTTGTGAATCTTGTGATACAAGTTCTATGAGCTTAAGGCTTAAAGCTATTTCGTTTCTCTTGATTTAGTAAACTGTTATTGACTGGTTTGTTTCTGTTGAGTACAAAGCTGGTGTGTGTGTTTACGAGCTTAGTAATGATCGATGTGTGTGTGTGTTTGCGAGCTTTGTTTTGTGTCCATATATTGTTAGAAGGATATATTGCCGAGCTTAGCATGTATGTGTGTGTTTGCGAGCTTTGTTTTGTGTCTCTATGTTGTTTTGGGAGCTTTATTGTAATGATTCTGCGAGCTTGATTCACAAGTGATCCATATATTTAGTTTTGTGTCCTCATCAATTTATTATGTTTTGTGTCCTCATCTATTTAGCTTTGTTAACTTCAGGTTATTGAGAGACAAAGAAGAAGAAGAAGAGCTGATATGGAAGAGCTGGTATATAGAGAAACATTATGTATTCATCCATAAACTTGTTTGCTTTATGTTTGTGTTCTCAACCTTTTAGAAACTTGTTTTTACATATTATGGATTCAATGTGTTCTCAAGCTTTTAGAAAATTATGAAACTTTTACTTTTTTTCTTAGCTCAATGTGTAGTTATTGTTTTTACAAATTTTATGATGTTACAAATGTGTTTACATTGAAAAAGAATATCTTTATTCAAAAAAAAAACATTGAAAAAAGCATAAAGGGCTTTTAGGGCTAAGAAGGGTCAAGCCCTATATTACATATTTTAATGGGTAATAAAAGGTTTAGGGCTCATTTAGGGTTGGGCTTAAGTTAATTAGGGCTGGGTTGGGTTGGACTACCCAATACAACATCCCTACTTACAATCCATATATATCCTCGGACAAGTTCCAGCGATTTTTAAATTGTTCCTCTTCTGTTGCTTCCTCGTTCGAGAGATCACCAACTTGCTCCTCTTCTGTTGCTTCCTCGTTCGAGAGATCACCAACTTGCTCCTCTTCTGTTGCTTCCTCGTTCGAGAGATCACCAACTTGCTCCTCTTCTGTTGCTTCCTCGTTCGAGAGATCATCAACTTGCTCCTCTTCTGTTGCCTCATTCGAGATATCACTAACTTGTTCCTCTTCTGTTGCTGCCTCATGTTCAACCTATAGACATAATGCAGAAATAAAAATCAAATGGGTATTTATAAAAAGAAAAAAAAAAGAGAGGGTATATATATTGGTTTGGTTATACAAATTCAGCATTTACCATGGACATTAATATGCAGTTGGTGTGAAACGCATCCTTACAGCGATCACATGTGTAATGATACTTATGACCAGGGAACTTGGTTTCTAATCCGCAGATAGAACAAATTTTCTTGGCATCAATTTTCTTGAGCCGAACAATATGCCGGTGGAGTTGGTTCTTAACATAAGTTGGAAACCCAATACATTCTACATGGGCGGACATGTTACAAATATCACACCCGTAGTAGGACGCACCACATGGTTTATTGCAAACAGTGCAATGGCGGGACGACGAGGAGGATGCCTCCGCGTCGTCCCCAAAGTTGTAGGCACAGTGCTTGTGGGCCTTGATCTTTTTTGTTAGACCCACTGCTAGGGCGCATTTAAAATGGAAGCTGATAGAGCAAATGGAACAAGAGAAAACATACTTTGAATTATCAATATCAAGTTTGCAAGCAGTGCATTTGGATGATCCAGCTGGTTTCCATCTGGTCCTATATAAACCGTGATTAAAATGAAGTGGATGATTTTCAAGAGCCCAGTATCGCCTCCAGAGTTCACAACACCGATAATGATAAATCTCTTCACAGTCCGGACATGAGACTATGTTTTCATCACACAGCATGTCGTCACAAATAGTACAAGCCACCGTGTATGACCTTGAGACCATAACTTGAACCAAGCCATGTCCTCCTTCCAAGCATTCTTCATGTTCAAGGTACCTAATGAACTTTTGACCCCTTTGTAACTCTCCAAGACGCATTTTAACGCTTACCGCGCATTTTGTACAAATGGTGAATTCGCATATGCGGCAGAATAGATTGAAAGAATCTATCTTCTCTTCGCATATGTTACATCTCATCTTAATAGTCCCTGCGGGATAACTTGGTAGAAGTGTCAAAGGATGATTCAAATGGAATCTATACCTCGATTGTTGTCTTAGCTTTACGCAGTTATCATGTGCCTTGAAATCACATGTCTCGTCATCGCATTCGCATTCCCATAATCTTCCATGTATGTTCCTAGAACATATCGTGCATTCTATCAGAGAAGCCGTAACATTGCAAGAACTCAGCACATGATTATGCCTAATATCAATAACCTACAAAAAAAACATTTACCTAATTAGACAAAGAAATTATTAGTTTGAGGCGTGTAAAACAATTGTTGGGAAAAAAGTATTATAAAATATTCACTATACGTTACCACGAGTTTGTTTTCTAACTCTTTAGTTTCACATTCATCATCGTCATCGGCTCGTGGCATTGTAATTAGTTTTTCACCATGAGAATACAGATCTTTCAAGTACAACGGGGATGGCACTTCCTGTGATTCATAAAGTAGCTAATCATCAATCACTTAAAAGAAGAAAAAAAAAACAAATTATATTTATATTTATTTACCTCATGTAAAATGCACTCAATGTGACTAACAAAACCACATTCTAGGCAACAATATGCATAACGCCCTGCGTGTACCATTGTCTCACAAACGCCACAAAACTCATCATCACTGTCGAATATTTGACGCACAAGTGGATGAATGTGATATGATTTCTTGACAACGGACTTGGGTATTCCAAGACACTCGAAATGAGACTTCCAACCACATTCCACGCAATGATACGTGTGGCCGTCACCATAGCCACCATCGTCTCTCATGCACACTCCACACCTTTTTACAAAACTTATTTCAGCATAAGTAGCTATATAAAACAGCTTGTGGCGATGAAACTTGTTCACCAAACCTCGCAACAATGAATCCGCACACCTCATGTGAAGATGAAAATTACATTTTAGGCAACTAAGCGGTGCACCATCGATATGGACCCCGCACGCATCACATACTTTCCCACCACCACAAGTATGTGTGAAATCAAGGCGTGTGAGAGGGTGTGCCTGATGCACTGGATGCTGAATCTCTCGAGGAAGTTCATCAATGCATCGCTCGTGAACAAACAAGAGACATTGAAAGCAACCGTAAGATATAGCAGAAGGAGTAAGAGGAAGCTCACACATCAAGCATGAGGAGGTGCCTCTAGCGTTTGGTCCTGGCTTACACCTCTTCAGCAAGTGTGCATGGCTATAGTGTAGCTTTTCTTCAGCGTTCCAACTCGTCTCGATGTTGTTGAGGATGGCACAACCGAGATCCAAGAAGATCTCACAGTCTTTACACTTGTAATAAAGGGATTGGTCGGAGAATAGATCACCACACCCGGAGCAGAGCTTGTATCTCTTGTTCCCTTCTCTGTTGCCTAGACAAAACTCGAGAGGGTGTTGTGGATGAAAACCATGTGACACCTTGAGTGGTAGTTTGGAGCAAGGTCTGCAGAGATCGAAGTTGCAAAGATCACATGAGAATTCTGTCGGGTCGTCCTTGAAGCAGATGTTGCATATGCCGTTGGCTATGATCTCCGGTGAGGTCAGCACACATTCATGGGCACCATGCTTGAGCTTTACCATGGCCGAAACCGATTCAGATTATTGACTAATTTAGCTGTTGAGAGATTCTGAGAACTCATCATAAATTTTAAAGCACTGACATTCCTTCTCTTTAAAGACCATACAAGAAGAGTCTTTATTGTTTCTCTCTATTGTTTCAGTCTTACTTTACCATTTCATATCTTTACTTTTTGAGAATGACACTAACTGGTCTGCCACAAACTTTTGCTTTTGTTTTTCTTTGTTGTTTTAAATTATAATTCTAATCGCTTTTTGTTTGATTTTAATCTTTTGATTAAAGCTTGCAATTCAGTATTAACACTGATGATGACATGACACAATCCAATTGGTTGATTAAAAGGCATGACGTGCACAGACCCACAGGCTCGAGCTTTTAGTTATAGTAGATGAAGTAAATTTACATGAGATAAACGTTGAGATGCTTAAATACTACTGAACTAGATGATAACCCGCGCGCATGCGCGGGGTGAAAATTTTATACCAATATTTATTCATTAAATGGTTTTTAACATTTTGCAATACTACGGTATTTATCGATTATAAAATGATGAATACAAATGTTGGTATCTTAAATCATCACAGATCTGGACGTTTGAGACTTCGTCGGTTTTGGTTTGATTGAGACGTATTTTCAAATTTTGCTATTATTCTCATAAATCTTATTTGAATTTTACTCATTATCGGATTGGATTCGATTTGGTCTTCTCAAATCAGTTTAGATTGGATTATAGCCAATATCTGAAATCATCCCAAAAAATATTTTTTAAAAATTAAAAGTTGACAAAAAATAATATTTAAACTATTAATAAATCTAATTTAAAATTAGTTAAATTATCTAAACAAACTAAAATATTTTTTTACAAAAAAGCAAATAAAACAAACTACAGAAATCTTTCACTGAAATTTTTAAATTAACATATTTATAATATGAATATCTACTAATGATACTTCATATTCGTATGATTTATGATAATTTGTATCTTGTTTGAGAAAAACAAAGTTAAACCATTGATCATAAAATTTTCACTGTGGGATTTTACTATTTTTAGTTATTTATGGTCGTTTTAAAAAATTAAAAATATAACCTATAAAAAAAAATTATTATATATTTAATGTGATTGTTTAATTTATTTTAATAATTTAAAATTAAACAAAAAAAAGAGAGGACACAAAAATATTTATTATTCATAATCATTAATTACATATATATGTTAATCATATTAGGTAATTCCGTAGCTTTTATTTAAGGAAAGAAAATATATTGTTTTACACCTAGCAGAGTTGGTCCCTTAAAAAATGTCTATATATTATAGTCCTAAATGCAAGAAATTAAATGTTACATTATTTCATTCCTATCAAAGTCGGTCCATTAAAAAAATTAAGGCTGAGAAGCTCTGTGAGCTTGACATGTAAGCATGCTCTCCAAGGTTGTGCATTTATGAATGTTTCAGGATTAATATATAAGGGATTTTTTTAATTAAATTGTCGTTTTTTTTAACAACTATTAAATTAAATTGCTGTTAGTTCGTTGATCTATCTATACTATTATTTACGGAGTGATTTTTCGCGGCAGAGTTCTCACGTTGAAAGTTATAATGGTTTATATCGTTTATACCCTTAATGAATAAATATATAAATTATTTATAAAATAAAAACGAATTTTAATTTTTTTGATTAGATAAATGACTTAAATTAATAATGATAAGAATTATCTAAAATCTAAAAATATATTTAAATTAAAAAGCTATAGTGATTAATATCAATTATATCCTTAATAAAGAAATCATGTAAATTAGGCACAAAATAAAAAAACGACTTTTTTATTAGATAAAAATTATCTAAAATCTAAACGTATATTTAAAAAAAAAAATTAGTGATTAATATCAATTATATCCTTAATAAATAAAACATGTAAATTAGACACAAAATAAGAAACATATTTTTATTTTATGATTAGATCAGAATTATCCAAAATCTAAATAATATGTTTTTAAATAAGATAATTCCTATGTATATTCTGTTATCTGAAAAAATATATTTTAATTAGAAATTTGAAAATTAAAACAATAGAAAATACATAACTAGATATTAATCAAGTGATTTTCTTAACTTTATATAAATAAAAAGAAAATATAATTTTATTTTAAAACTTATTTTAATAGTGAACATAATGCACAAAGAAATATATGAAAAATGTTTAAATGAAAATTCAAATATTATTGGTTTTTAAAATTAAAACATAATTATACTTTATCATATAATATTTCTATTAGTAAAAGATATATTAATAAAATAATTATAAAATATTTAAGTCCGCAAATGCGGCAAAACACCTAGTTTATTAATAAAACAATGAGGATGTATGTGTGTGGGAAAAAAAAGCTATCAAAGACCTCCGACACTATGCTAGTGACAATCCAAGTAATCGGTGTGGATGTCATACCCTCGTAGCTATGAGGCTTGAGAAATGTCAACGAGGAGATTAGGCATGCGGCTTTCAAACCGGAACCTAATACCAAACCGGATTCGACTCGAAATGAACCGGTTCGGATCGGTTTTGGATATAGCATATTTAACTGATGGGTAAAGTTTATGAATATCAATGTGTGTCGGTTCGGTTTTGATTTTTACCCAGAACCGATCAGGTACCTAATTAAATCGGATTAAATTTTAAAAAACATGGTTTTGTATTTCATGGGCCTCGAATCTTGGAAAGTATAGATACAAGTTAGGCCCTAGTACAAGTACATTCACCTCTAGATCACCTCGATTTCCTTGTTAATGTATTCAGACTATAAATATATATTCGATTTGTATTCAAAATTCTTTCAAAAATCAAAATTAAAAATTAAAAAAAAATAAATAAAAAATATAATTTTGGGTTAATATTTGTCTACCCGAAACCGCCCCAGAACCGGGCGAAACCGATCCGAAGCCGAACCGTAAGTCAACCAAGTATCCATTGGATACGTTTTCTAAATAACCGATTTACCCGCAACGGAAATCAGAACCGACCCGGATACCCGAAATCCCAGTCCTAGAGGAGATATACACTTGATATGACCAGTGGCTACGCTACATGCACTAAGAGAGGGGCAATTGACCACCATGACTTCCAAATTTTTGGTGACAGAATCATTGAAACATATACTTCATGGATGTTTAAAATTAAAACGCAACAATCCTATGCAATCCTATGCAAATGCATACACACCGTACAAATGCATAAGACTAAGACACCCAGAAAAAAAAAAGAATGAAAACAGTCACTACTTGCATATAGAGAGAGAATCCCATCTTCTTCATTACTGGTCTCAGGTTCATGGTCAGGCTATCTATACATTAATTCCTCCCAGCCGTCAATTTTTACCGTTAGTTATTGCGTCACTAAATCCATACACGATTACGTTCTAAATACAATAAACATATAAGCAAACACAAAACAATGGCTACCAACATAGAGAGAAAGAAGGACACTTAAAAGAGAATGAAGAAGGCAAACGACCGCTTCTCCTTATATAATCAGCTCTCTCCGATGTCCTCACCGCCATCTCGTTCAGCTTCGCCTCCGCATTAGCTCTCTTTTCCTCCGCTATCCTCTTTGTCGCCGCCAGCTTGTTCGCCAACTTCTCCTCCGCCCTCACTTTCATCCTTTCCGCCTTTACCTACACACACACATTCACACCTTTTTCTCAAACTTCTTGAATTTAAAGATATTTACTCATTTTCAAAGAAATGTTCAATTAAACATAACCAAAACCAAAACTGTTTAAACTGCTCCACAATGTATGTCTATTTGATGAGAATCTTACCTCCACTTTTTTCATCTCCATCTCAGCCTTCCTTTTCTCTTGATTCTCCCAAGCTTGTATCTTCACTTCCTCTCTCTTATACCTAATCACATTCCAGCCAAAAAATCAAACCTCAAACACTTGTATATATAAAATGAAGCCACGTCAACACCAATTAAACAATTAATTAATGTTAATCACCTAGCCATGAACTTAGCCCGCTCTGCTTCATCCCAAGCCATAGCTCTAGCTTCCATAGCATTCATCCCCTTATTATTATTATTATTATTATTATTATTATTATTATTATTATTATTATTATTATTATTATCTCCTAATCCAATATTACTCGCCACGGTTCTAGTCTCCGTCACCGTCACAGCCTCTCTACCGTGAGGAGCTCTCACTGGTGACGTCACAGGACTTCTCCCGACAGGAGTTGTGGCTCGAACAGGAGTAGCTGTCCTAGAAGGCTCTTGACTCCCTATAGGAGTCATCTCAGTCCCCATATCCCTCACACAAACAGATCGAATCACAGCCGTTGGATTAATACTCTCTTTCCTCCAAACCGAACCACCTTGTTCTCCACAGTCTACGTTCTTCGTCTCCACCTCCGGCCTTCCAGCCTCCGCAGCCTCGCCGTCTTCGTATTCAACGTACTGATCTTCTCCTTCACGTTCTCTCTGCGAAGCAGAAGCTATGAGTCTGAGATCATCAGCGTTGGAGTTTCTCGGTTTACAGCTCCTCGAGTTGTGGTGGTTAAGGTTCTTATCTCCTCCGCCGCCGCGAGAGAGGCCAACTCCGGAGAGCCATTTCTGAGCGTCGTCCCATTTTGATGGGGCAGGTTTTCCAATGGTGGAGCGGTGGTGGTTTGGTGTACGGTTGGGACCTTTCTGAAACTCGAAATTGATATTACCATTTCCGTTTGAAATCTCTGGCGTCGATGGTCCGAGCCATCCTTTGTTATCTTCCACCCCTTGAGATCTCATTAAGATAAATAACTAAAAACACAGAGATCTATCTGTTCTAACTCTTACAACAAGTCAGGAGCATGTAAGGTTTTATATATTCAATAATGGGTAGAGGAAGAGAGGTGACTTCAAGGAGGGATTAAGTGGAAGTGAGGAAAGATGTGGCGAAACAATCAAAGAGTCGTCACACTCGTAGACCCAACTTTCAGAATGTGAGAGATTTAGCAGAGAGTCATTAAATGCCAAATGGGTTGTTTTTTTGTAGAGATGAGAATGATAGTCTTTAAAACTCCTATTAGTTCTCTGTCCTTTTTCTTTCGGGATGACACAATCATATACCCCTAGAAGTATTTTCTTTTAAATAGGGTTGATTATAATAAAACTCAGATCTGCTCCGTGAAAATGCTGTCGTACTTATGCTTAATTTTTTTTTCGGATTTAAAATTTTTTTTTAACAAAAATGACTAATCGCAGATCGCCACGTGTCGTGAGATCCGCAAAAACAGGTCAAGCTTCAACCAAAATGGGACACTTAGAGCATCTGCATCGCACGTATCCAGGATGGATTTTTGAGGAAAAAGAGGGGGTGTGGGGACCACGAAAAGAAGAGAGACGTCTATAAATGTTGTGAAAGAAGCGATGGTTTTGATCATTATTTCGTGGGTTCCACACCACGTGACGGCCCACAATTAATTAAAATATTTAATTTTTTTTTAATAAATGTTGTCGTACTTATGTATAGTGGTAACATTATTTTACTAGCATCTCAATTTTTATTCAGTCACTTATTTCTTTTTTGTGGGTGTAAATGTTATGATAACCGGGGGATTGTGGTAGAGTGGTGCAAAAACGAGACTTGAACACCAATATGTTTCAGCTTAGATCTATCTGCTCTACAAAATTAATTTTTGGTCACCTAAAACAGATATGAATACATGAATCTTTTCTTAGAAATTAGTCTTTGTCTCTGTAAATCTGGGATATCCCAGGTTAATAAAAAAATATTAAGATCAACTACTTAATTCGAATCTGCATTATTATCCGACTCCGGATATTTATTATACATTACCCGTATATTTGGATTCATGTAGCTGTATGGGTTTTTATAATAATGCTCAGATCTGGTTGGTCGAAATACTGTCAATACTGTAAAAGAAAATAATACTATCAATCATGTGTACGTGAGTAGAAAGTGACTCAACTACTATAGTACGACTACAGTGTAGTGTTAATAAAATAAAGCCACAATGGGAACGAACAATCAAAAACAATTAGGAGGAATCTCGGGAGAACCAAAGAGTTAAAACTTGCACTGCAATTCCCAAGAGTAATATTTTTTAAGATACTGTTGTACTTTCTAACGGTAACTTTAGAACCTTAAGATTAAGATTTTAGATGAAGACAGTTTCGCAAAGATAGTGACACGTGTGCGAGCAGAGATCTTGAAAGGAGCGGCGAGATTTTGGATTTGTCGGACCGGGTTGAGGTGGCAAAAGCGGGTCCGAGTTTGTCTGACAAACTCACGTGGTCTTTGACAGTGCCCCCTACTGCTTGTGGACCGTCTTTTTGGTTTCATATGGATTCATTAGTGTGGCTACTTCTTTTTAACTCACATTTCTGTTTCAGTTAAAGTTTTCTAATTCTATGAAAAAACACTATTTGCATAGATGCAAAATTAGAATGATTAACGAGTAAGCAAGTACGAATAAATGATTAGGTCATTCACGACTAATATTCTACCCGCTAGATCTGCCACTGATCCCTAGTTTTTTTTCTCTGGTGCCAAGCTAGTTCCGATGATATCATGCAAAAGGAATAAATGGTGGTACTTAGATGAAGCATCCAAGTGGCGTTGGAGACATAAAGCTTCGCCACCCGATGAAAATTTCATCAGAGAGGCGTTGAAGGCGGCGATGCTTCAAAGACCTGCTCTTCACAAGACATATGTTCTTGCGTTGTCGTTGATTATATTAAACGTGTGCGCGCACATGTCCTAAGCTTATCATTTTGTATTTTATTGGGTTTTTGTTGTATAACAACACTTTGCTTTTTACGAGTTTTTAAAGTAAGAGGTGGTCGACAATGAAAAAAATGAAAACAATATATTGTCGACGTTACTTGAAAATGAATACAGATATAGAATTCCTCATTTATTCAGATACTTAGAAATTTTTTATAAGAACACGATTTGTGTGGATTCTAATAAACCTTTGAATTTATTTACGTCCATACGGTTGTCAAATTAGTAAGTGACCAACACATTTATATTATCAGATATGTTTTGTGTTATTTATGTAAAATAATATTCTACATTCAATGAAAAAAATGGTGGTCCTCAAGACATGATCGTTTGATGTAATATCATGTCTTTTGTTTCAGGACTTGCTCTTCGGTGTGGGTTGGTACTATAAATACAGTATGTTGAAATGCTGGACAGCGCTTAAACTTGCTCACTTATTATGATACATGACAACGTGTTATAAGAATTTTTGTCAGCAATTTATACACACATCCCATCGTATATTTGGGTGATGAATGATGATGTAATGAGGCTGCTTTAGTTATTCATCGAATAGAGCATTAAATCCTCCTTTTCCACATATTGAACAAAAGTGACCCAAAAACACTCTTGGGCATAATGAATTTTGGGAACATAAATGTATTATGAAATCTATTTTGTTCGTTTTACATTTGTTACTGATAACGATCAGGCATATGTTTTATTGTTTGTTTTGTAATCACTGCGATTAGTCAGTGTGTTTGATCATTATAGTGTTTGTTTTGCTATTGTTGACGCTACCGATTATAAAATCACTGCTATCGTTAGCAACTGTCAAACGAACATGACATTCCCATTGACTTAAACCAAGATCAAGAAGCCAGCAATGAGTGAATGTCAACAAGATTTTGCAGAGATAATCCATTACTTGGAATTGTTTTGGATATGACTTTTCTCTGTGATTTAACAAAGATCCGCTATAGATATAGAGCTTTTCATAAGTAATGACTATGCTGAACCTAAACAAATCATACTCCTTTGTAGTTCAAGACAAAAGTTCCTCTATTACCAGTATACCACTTCATAGATGACATTTTCATGTTTTTTTACAAGACCAGTTTGCATGTCATGGCTGTTTCAGCTACATACCAGTGGCTGGCTTTCACACACGATGGAGCAGTTTATGCTACTTGGCTATTAAGGTGACTAAGTAGCCAACAACTGTCGTGGCAGTTCCAAGTATACCACCCACAATGACCTAATGACACCGAAACAGATACAGTCAGGGCCGGCGTTGGGCACAACCGGATGAAATATTGGCCTTGATCCCTAAATTTTTTTAAAAAACTACATATATACAGGCCCCAAAAAAAATTTTAGGCCCCCAAATCGGTAAAAACAAAAAAAATTAGGTGAAATCGTTAAGAAATCGTCTTAGGTCCCATAATTCTGAGAGCCGGCCCTGGATACAATTCAGGTACTGAACACAATCATAGTCTCTTACTTTGGTCTAACATGAAAGCCATCTCTATTGATCTGACCTGTCTCAATCTGCATTATTCGCTTACCTGTAGAGGAGTATGACCAAGAAGTTCACGCAATGGTCTGCTCTCAGCGAGAGGATGTTCTGCAGGAAGTTCATACACAATCTGATTCAGAACCTCAGCTTGGCGACCAGCATGTAACCTTACACCAGTTGCATCATACATCACCTGCAAGCCCCTCACTAATTCAATCATCTCCTAAAACTGATAAGGAAGGTGAAGCAAAAAAAACATACTATGGAAGTGAGAATGAAAGCGATGGCGAAAAGAGAACCTCCAAAGCCTTCTTGTAAACCAACAGCCATAGCAAGAGCTGTAACTGTTGCTGAATGTGAAGAAGGCATTCCTCCTGACCCAACAAGCCGTTTCAGATCCCATCTCTTTTCCTTATACCTTTTTTGACAAAAAAAAAAACTTACAAACATAGTTGTCGGAAAAATCTTTGTCTCTTTGTCTCTAAACAATTCTCAAGAACTATGGATCATGTTCATGTGTAATAAAACGTACCAGGTGGTGAATAACTTGATGAATTGTGCGATGGTGAAAGCTAATACAGAGGAAAGCAGAGGAAAATTCATGAAAATGGAGAAATACTGGGAAGAAGAAGAGGAAGATGATTCCTCCATTAGAAGATGATCGATGGATCTCATTAGGGCTTTCAGATCAACCACGAGAGAGATGAAGACATGAATCCATAAGAGGAAAGAACCCTTTGCGTGTGGAAAAATCTTTTTTCGTCTTCGGTAACGGTTCTATTTAATATCATTGCTTAACTTGGGAAGAAGAAAACGTATTTATCCGAAACTATATAATCAAGTTGTTTATCTTATAGATTATTTTTCCAAGATTTTTTTGTTTTTGTTTTTAACTTTAGTTTTCCAGTTTCGAGAACAAGAACTAAAAATCGGCTGCGTTTTAAAATTCGGGAACTGAGTGTATATTCAGAAAATATAGCATGGGAAATGACTCAATGAGGATAAGTATATTTGTATATACGTTAACTTGTTATTATTTACTGATTGATTTGTGTTTGAACAGCATATGCTTCTTTATTCTTTATTTGCAAGTTTGCTAAGGAATATGCTCTTTAGTTAGACTATGTTTATTGCGGGGTTCTTAAGTGGAGCTTTTAGATTCGATTAAGATATATTTCTTATATTTTAACTAAAAAAACTAAAAACGAACTCTTAAATAAAAGATATAAAAATTGGTTCTTAGCTAAAAAATATTAAAAAAAAAAAAAAATCAAATCAAATAATGAGTTAAGAATCATATCCTAAAAGCTTCCAATAAACTTGTCCTTAGAGCATGATTAATTTGGAGTTCTTATGGCGGGATTCTTAAATGGAGCTCTTAGATTCGATTAAGATATATTTCTTAGCTTTTAACTAAAAAATCTAAGAATAAGTTCTTAAATAAGAGATATAAAAATTGGTTCTTAGCTAAAAAGTATTAAAAAAAAAAATCAAATAATGAGTTAAGAATCATATCCTAAAAGCTTCTAATAAACTTGTCCTTAGAGCATGATTAACTCGGAGTTCTTATGGTGAGGTTCTTAACTTCCGTTAAGAACTTAATTTTTAACTAAGAAAATTAAGAACTGGTTCTTAAATTTTTTTATGAAAAGTTAAAAACAGTTTCTTAATTTCTGCTAAGAACTCTACCCTAAAAACTCTGGATTAATCATGGTCTTAGACTTTAACCAAAAGCTCACATTAATTTCTGAGAGATATGTGGGATAATTTGCTGAAATGTAACAAATGATATCTTTAATTTATATTTACAGTCATAAAAGTTATCAATCATGTTTATTTGGTTTTGAAAGCTAAATTAAAAAAAAAATTGATTGTAGCAACCTGAGAAAAATGATTTTTTCATATTCAACATATTATAATATATACAATTCATATTCAGCTTATACGATCGTGTAAAAATATACATGTATTTTGAAAAAAAATCAAATAACATATTTATTTTTTACCTTTTTTGGCAAAATCATATCCCAATACCCACATCAATTGACACGTAAGTTAATTTTGTTGACGAAAATGTTGTATATTGTATTAAAAAAAAAAGATGTTTTATAAAAAAAAATTTGGAAAATGTAAACATTTATAATTTTTTGACAGCTTATATTTTTTTTAATAAAATTAAGAAAACTTATTTAAATAATAAAATTTTAATCTTATATAAGAGATATATTCATTGTAATGTATCGATCTTATCAGAATACCATTCTTAGAAAAGTTTTATCTGTATTGTAATGATTCAAATTCCATGCTAATTTTGCTGTCATGTTATTCTAGATTAATCTTAGTTATGCTAATTACATTTAAAGAGTTTACCTTAGCATATCATAAATTCTTAGTTTATTAAAACAAAATTATGCGCATGATCACATAACCAATCAAAAAAGTTTATACACAAACACATAACCAATGCTCTCCTTTTGGATTTACTTTCACTCAAAAGTCACTCAATGATCTCTAAAGTTTGTGAGATGTTATCATATCGTTGTTGCTCTTCTTACAATGACCATTTTCCTGTTTGTGTTCATCTGCTCATTGATCGCTCGACAAAACGATTGAATAGTCTTGTTGTAAGCCTAGGTTGATTTATTTTCCAGCAAAACCATTCCGACCAAGAAACAACTCCAAAAAACAAGAAACCAGCTAAAGTGAGTTCTTGATCCTTAATAGCCACTGTCCCGTTGACAAACAATTTGTCATAAACATATAAAGTCTCGTTAAGGATATAATCCTAGACGGGTTAAGAATATGATTTATATGATTTTCTAAAAAGATTTCTCTTATCTAATTTTTCCTTTTTAAATCTTGAATAGAAACTAATTTATCTTTCTTTGTCCACTTGTCTATTTCTCTTCCTTCTCAGAAAAGGAAAACTAATTTAGGCGTCTATATAATACAAATTGACCAATTTGTATCCTCAAAAAAAGGAATAGGTGTTTATTAATCTCAACATGGTATCCTCTTTTCTGTCTTCGTTTTATCCTTTTAAGAAATCTAACAAAAGAAGAAATTCAAGCAAAAACAAAAGAAGAAATTCAAGCAAAAACAAAAGAAGAATCTCTCTAGATTCTTTACCAGAAGATCTTCTTGTGGAGGTTTCTTCATATACTGGAGCTCTCTCCTTGTCATCTGTTCGTAATCTCCGATTAGTTTCCAAAACGTTTAGAAAAACCTGCGATGAAACATACGTTATTTCTCGACTTTCCCTTCACGAACTCCCTCTTTTCCATTGGTCTAAGAACCAAGAAAGGTTCTCTAACTTCTTCGAAAGATGTAGAAGGCATGAAAACCCTGAAGCCTTGTACCGCAAAGGACTTATCAGCTACTTTCTTGAGAACCAAAAACAAGAAGGATTCAATTATTTAACTAAAGCTGCGGGAAAAGGAAACAAAGAAGCAAACTATGTTTATGGAATGATCCTAATTTGTGGCCGCATCCCTGAAGGTAAACAAGATAATCACTAATATATATTACAGGCTAACATTAGCGTATCTAATTTGGTTGAGTTAGCTTTTAATGCACATGCACTTGATATTTTGTTACGCTGAGTTTTCTTTGGTGCCAATAGTTTTGTTATTATTATAGTTCTACGTCCTATGCATTTTGTGTATATTTCCGTTTTATTATGTTGAGTTATGTAACAGGGACGGCTTTGCTTGGAGGTGAAACAAAGCAAGAGGGTTTCAAGGTCTTGTCTTCTTTAATGAAACCATTGATGTCAAAAACATTGAAAGAGTTGGTGGAACTTCGAGACAAGATTAGAGGAAAAGTTTGGTGGCGTGGAATACCTGTGATGAAAGAGCTCAAAAGTGGGTACGTTCAAGAGAAGTGTAAGTGTGACGGCCGAACAAGCAAGTTCATAGCATATAATTGTGTTTGGCATAGATATGGTGAGGACAATGACATGAATACTTCTTGTGCTTGTGTTTCTTGTCTGTGGAATCACGAAGTTCAACGTTTCTTTGATAATATTCCAAGTGAATGATGTAATAAACTAAATTAATTAATAGAGAGATTATTTTTTTGGGTGTTTTCTTCTTTGGATACAAATAGCCAATAATGCATTGGTTCTGTCTTGGCCACTTATTCTTCAATTACTGGAGAAGGTTATGCTTCCGGCAAGATTAAGATACTAACCCTAGCTAGACGATCCCTTGTTACTTCTCACCCAAGAAAAGGAACTTATTACCTCTTTTATTTTCGATCTTAGTTGAACAACCTTTTTAGGTGCTTCTAACCTTTTTTATTTCACTCAAATCTTTTGCAATTTCGCCTAGAGATTGATTTCATGGTTGCATATAATGGTAACATAGAAAATGAGAGGAACCAGAAGCTTTTTCTTTTATATAATATAGAAGAGTAAGTCTACATATAGCAGTTTCTGTTTTAAATAGAGATGATGGAAGCATGCACCGTTTCTGGATCACCCTTGTAGGTAAGCTCAACAAAAGTACCTGCACCTTCTCCTTTCGAAAGTCTTCCAGGGTTCACACACACACACTTGGCTGCATCTTCCCCTTCCCCAATAGATAAAACCTTCACACAACATTCAGGAAAAAAAAATTTAAGTAACTTTACACATCACACAACTTCTGAATCTTGATGTTACTATTAACATACTGACTCACCTTCACGAAGTAAATCATCTTTGATGGAAGTAGGAGAATGTCTGGGATTGATGAAATCCGTAGCGCCTGAGGAGCTATTGAGGAATCATAAGGGAGGCTCTCCGGCGGTGGATACAGAGGATAGAAGCTGTTTTAAGTACAATATATTTTTTTCTTTGAATATTTGGTTGTAGCTGAGAATATAGTTTGAAAAGAGAGTTAGTTAACAGTGCTTATACCTTCGCTGACGAAGGAGATGGCTAGCGAGTCTGGCCATACGATCAGTGGGGACTCCACTTGGGTTTCTTGATATCTCCTCCACACTCAGGTGCTTTAGTACATCCACTGTGCAGCAGCCTACCTTCACCTGTGAGAGTCCCAAATCAATGTTTATGTTTTAAGGACTTTGAGAGTATATGGCTACTCAGAAGAGAATTGTGAGAGTGAGTTTTATTACCTGGTTTGCCTCAAAGGTCCCCGGGTTTGACAGACTGGTTATCTGTATGTATGGGAGAAGAAAAAGAAGAGGATGTAGTCAGTATATTCCAAATGTGAAGGAAGAGTTGAGTGATGAAATGAAAAATTAACAAGTACCTGATGTTCGAGATCAGGTATGTGAATGTCGAAAGGAGGCTGTTAAAGCAAGGGGAGTCTTGTCAAGTCAAAATAGAGAAGAGAAATGCATAAAAGCGAGAAGAGAGGTTTTGAGAGAAAAAGAAAAAGCACCTGAGGGAATATGCAATCATGGTTAGCATCGCGGATAGATGGAACCAGAATCACTCGTACTTCCGAACCCATGAATTCCACATATTCTTGCACCTGTGAAATTCAAAAAGAAAAACATTAAGATCTTTGTTTATTACAAAGTCAGTCAGTGTTGAATATATCTTTTAGTTTTTATTCTCAGTACCCTCCTGATGACTTCCACTTGGAAAATCTCACTGAAGGTGGCATCAACAGCTCCTTTCTCAATCTCTGGATGCTCAGAATCCACAAACGGTCCAAGCTGAGTTGAAAAAAAAAAACAGTAAGTGCCCCCCCCCCCCGCCCAGACTAGACACAATCACACAATACATATGTAGTCTATAGAAGGTCTGAATGAATCGTAGCTACTCACCAGCACAAGTAGCTGTGGTGGCTTTCTTTTTGCATGGGCTAGTAGCTCATTCAGTGGCTCAAACAGCAAGTTGTCCTGTGTGGTGAATGGGCCGGATGCAATTATCTGTCAAGATTAAAACCCTTAAGCATCATTTCGAATCCCAAACTAGAAAACAGGACAGATCATAAAAAAGAGAAACACAATAATAATTATGTCTGGCATCACTGAAGCCAAAACTAACGGAGCTCTAGTCTTTACACTTACCAGCCTAGCTTAACCAATACAGGACCGTGGTCTCTATAATTCTTAACACTTTGCATTTCTATCATCTCAACATTTTGACCATGTGTGTATATATATTAGGAAAGAGATGGGCCTAGAGCAGTTCCTTGAGATGAAGAATCGCATACTTACAAATGAAACCTCTGAATTTTCACGGGATTCGTCAGTAAGAGTTAAGGCCTCCTGATCCAAGTTTTGCTTCTTAGCAGGAGGTAGATCCACGTCAGCAGTGGGTGTTAAAGGAAGTGTATCCACTAGCTTGGAAGCAGTGAGATAATGCCCACTAGGATTTTGTCCTTCAACGGCAACTATCTGCATCCAAATTCAGACCACCTCCACATGAATACTAGGAGTCTTCTGTGGAAATGAAACCAAAAAAAAAAATGAATGTTGTTTATCACCTGGCCAGGAAAAATAGAGAACTGATTTAGTCTGTTCAAGTCTAGTGGGACACGCTGTCCTGAAGTTCTCTCGGCACTGCAATCATAGAATGTGTTGCCCATTAGGATAAGGAGACTCAGAACATGATTCATTGTCCTTAACTAAATTACAATCTCTTATGCAACTCTTTATAGAACATGATTCATTGTCCTTCATACTATTGCACAATCAAAACAGAATGAGACTACTTTCAGAGAAGAGTGAAGCCATAATTTGAGTTACCTGCTCTGCAACAGAATGGACTTATCATTCAAATGCCCCTCTCCATCACAACAAATCATTCCAACAGCAAATATGCTTCTCTGAAGCAATCAGTGGCACATAGTAAGCAAAAATCCATACCCAATGTTAAAACTTATTTGAAACCAAAGTAGAGTGTTAATAACCAAAACTACCTGTGAAGCAACAGCTGGATCCACCAGTTCCTCATATAACCCCGAGGCAACAAATGCATCTGCATGCCTAACGATCCTCTTCTCGAGAGCATTTAACTTGTCCTCAGTTTTGTCATACATGAACCTACAACCCGGTTCAGGACCTATGCCATTGACCTTTAGAGAACACCTGCGTCTTGTCTGAACTTTCTTAATAATCATATCATCCTCACTGTTTTCCACATCATTGTTATCTCCATTCTCTGACTGCGCCGCCACATCACCTATCCTGAATTTCACCACAAACTTTTCGCCGCGTTGCCCAAAAGGAGTCACATGCCCAACTGACTTCCCAGTAGAGTAACCGTAATCTCTGGATCTGCTTACTGAATCAAATGAATCCGGAACTAACCGTTGAGACTTGTTTGTAGGTGTAGTGACGATCTCGTCTGCTGTATCTTCCGGAATCCCATCCAAAAGCCTGGTTCAAAACAGTTTGTATATCTTTTAAAATCTTCTAAAAAGTTGACCCAAGAAAGAAGATATCTGACAGAAAAAAACTTACATGTCTACATCTCTGTTTGAGTAAGTATGTAGACCAGCCTCCTCCTTCATCATGGCTTCTTTCTGTTGGTTCTGTAGATGCAGTAGAAACCCATCCATCTCATCATTTTTTACAGTTTGATCAGTACTTTGTCTGTTACATCCAACAAACACACAAAGAAAAGGTTTCAAACTCTAACTCTTATAAACACTAACCCAAAAAAAACCATGAACATTAAACTATAGAATATAATTATAAAGATCAAATTTGTCTGTTACATCCAACAAAACACAAAAAGAAAAGGCTTAAACTCTATCTCTTATAAACACTAAATGAATATTAAATTATAACATTAAAAACCAATAATTTTTTTTTTGGGTAAAGATCATCCAACAAACACATAAAGAAAAGGTTTAAACTTTATCTCTTACAAAACACTAACACAAAACCCATGAACATAAAACTATACAATATACTTATAAATAACTTTGTCTGTTACATCCAACAAACACAGAAAGAAAAGGTTTATACTTTATCTCTTACAAAACACTAACACAAAACCCATGAACATAAAACTATACAATATACTTATAAATAACTTTGTCTGTTACATCCAACAAACACAGAAAGAAAAGGTTTATACTTTATCTCTTATAAACACTAACACAAAACCCATGAACATAAAACGATACAATAAACTTATAAAGATCAAAACTTTGTCTGTTACATCCAACAAACACAGAAAGAAAAGGTTTAAACTTTATCTCTTACAAAACACTAACACAAAACCCATGAACATTAAACTATACAATACACTTATAAGCATCAATACAATCTCTAGGAGCATCAAAAGAATCAAACTTAACTACGAATTGGATTCAATTTGTGAATGCTAATAGGAGGAGAGTGTTACCGATTGAGATGATAAATCTCCCAACTTGCAACGAGTTCAGAAGGCTTCAGGCTGTAGTTTATGCAGAGAGTCACACCTGAAAATAACGTCAGAAATAATAATTTAGATAACTCTCAAGTTTCGTGATTTGGAGAAAGTGAAATTAGGGCAGAATCGTTGAGCTTACATGTCTCGAGAATCTCGTCTTCTTCCACGAGAGTGAAACCGCTGCGGATGAATTCTTTCTTAATGTCCTCACTTGTCGCCATCTCGCTCGCTCTTTCGACCTCTTTCTCTCTCTCTCTTACTGTTGCGTTTTGTAGAGAGAGATTTATTGTGGCGAGTGGGGGAAGACGGAAAGGAACCGGCGGGAAAGTGTCTGATTTTAGGCGGGATGGTTATTGCCTTTGTTTTATGGGCCGGACTTTTAATGGGCCTTCTTATTTCTAAAGTGGGAAGTTGTAAGGGTTAAAAGAGTTCGACGGTTTGGGCTTATTAGACCATCTCTAAGGGTTGATTGGTAGAGCATTAGCATAGGTATTATGCTCTCTATTATCTAATCAACATTTGGCAAAGAAACATTTAGAAAAGCATTTATCAAATGCAAATGCTTTCCAAATGTTCTTTGCTCAATGCTCTCATATAGAGCTTTTGGGAGAGCATTTGAATATAGAAAATATAAAACTTAACAATATTTATATATAATTAATTTATTTTTGTTTAAAAATATAAACAATATTTTTATAATTAAATATAAATTGATATTGTAAAAAATAAAAATTATAATTTTTTTTTAAAATAACAAGATTTCATATTTAAAATATAATATAATTTATATAATTACATATATCATTCATTATTTTTAATAACAAACATAACATAATATAAATTATATATTATCGATATAAACATATTATTTAGACACTAATAAATAAATTATATATTAACTTTTATGATAATTTTATATATGAGTACTTTAGTGCTCTACTAATAAATAAATTATAATTAATTTATATATAAAATATAATTAATTTATTTATTTATTTATTTAATAATAATTATAATTTAATAATAATTAATTAAATTATAACTATAATTTTATATATGAGTAATATGTTATATCCAAAATAATTTAATATTTTAAAAAAACTTTAAATTTTTAAATATAATTATATAATGAAATTCACTATTTTAATAAAATTATATATTATTAGTTTATTATATATATATATATATATTATTTTAAAAGTAATATATTATTTTACTAACTATTATGATAATTTTAAAATCGTATACTGCTAATGCTCTGCCAATCACTTTATTAAAAATTTTAATGAAAGCATACAGCTTCTGTAGCATACTGCTTCTGCATACATATGGGTTAAATTTTAATTGAAAATAATAAAATTTAAAATTTTAGATACTTGTTTAATTTTAACCCTTTCAATGATAGAACCAATAAAAAATTCTAAGTTTCAAAAATTTGAAAATCTATAAATTAACTTGTATCACACTCTATTACATCTCCTCTCTATTAGTTTTACTAGATTCTTCTTGAGTATACACCATCATATTTGATATTGATGTCACTTTTCTCAGCAAAGAAAAGAAGTTATCAAACAATAAACTAGAAACTAGATAGCAACACATGGTCTCATTTCACATATTTTTTTTTAAAAAAACATAACCCTATCAAAAAGTGACACATATCAGTTAGAACTGGTTCCAAAAATTAAATTTTTAGAACTATATCTATCTAATTTTACTCTTTTTAATTTGATTTTGAACCTTTATTTACTTATAAGTGTGATATAGAACCCATTTAGATACAGTTACGTTGGAGATTGTCCTATTGCCTACTTCTGAACTTTTTTCGGACAATCCTTTAAGAGAGGATTGTATAGTTATGACTTATGACTAAAATGTAAGTAGGGTTTAGATTTTTCAGAGTGGAAGTTTAGAGTTTAGAATTCATAATCAGTCTAAAGTTACGAAATAAAATTTAGAGGAACATATTTATTTTAATTTTAGATAAATATTAAAATGTTATTTATTAATGGAAATTTAGTTTTTTATTCCTTGATAAATGATGTTTTATCATTTTATCTGGATCAAATCAAACGAAACGAATATTGATTCTCAATAAAAACGGATATTAGATCTAAATAAAATCTGATTTTAATAGGTAATTTGCCTAATCCTATCTAAAACCATGTGAAATATATCCCAAAATAGGCCAAGCACGCAAATTAAAGAATGCTAGTTTGTATACCATACGTGTAAAAGAGGAGATATTTATCCCAAACAAGATGATGTATAAAATAAATGGATGGTTTCGTATTAGACCTTTGTTTCAGATATTATTTATATAATTTATATATAGAAGATACATATACATCAACAAAAGAAAAGAAAGCTTAGAAACAGCATCAAATCATGTTTTTTTTTCTGTAAATGTTAGCGTTACATTTGGAAATCCTAACATAGACGGTATTCCAAAATAAAAGCATGACTGCATATAATTTGTTCAAGAGAAGAACTTGTAGTCACTGGCAGACATAATAATGGTTCTGAGGCCACCAATGGGAGCTACGATCGTCAATATTACACCGACCACTATGCAGAACTGCAATTTTCACACAACCAAACAACAATTTATTGTCAAAATTCCACAAAACTGAATAAGATGACATTATATAGTACGGAATATGATGAGTAAAAGGAAATATACCCAGTTAAGAGACCAAGACAATCCAAACTTCTTTGGTTTCTTGAGAATCAACCACATTATGCATGGCAGCTAATCATAGGAAAAATAAAAAAAAAGGTATCAAAATAATTTATTATGATTTCTTTAAAAAATCAAAATAGTTAGTTTTGTCTACTGAATTACTTACGTAGTAAGTTGTTGGGGCAAAGGCAAATCCTCCAAAAAAGCCGAGTAATCCACCAAAAAATGGAATGCATATTCCAATGAACATAGTTAAAGCTGTTCCATCAAGTATTCCAGTGTCATAAATTCATATTTCGTTATGTAAGAGTAGTGATTAAATCTGAAATAATAGAAAACTTACCAACATATGTAGTTCGAGTGATGAAACGGAGTTTAAAGGAAGGATCAAACATCATTTGCTTTACCAAAAAGGTTTCAAGCATATCAAAAACCGGCATTGCGAATATCTGATAGCTTCCAATAACATGAACAACCACGAATGCGTTAGCCATGACGATAAGCCAAGTTGGTTTCTCCAGTGACATGAGAATATTGTCGTCCACATTGTTTCCAAAAATATAGTAGCAAACAAATGCAACAGGAAAATAGCAGATTGCGACCACAATGTAGGCAACAACCACTCCTTTCCACATTGGGATCTTAGATGGTTTCTCGGGAGTTGAAGGAATAGTAGCTTGAATCTCCAACACCACATTATGACCAGCATATGCAAATGCGACATCTCCTAGTGCGTTCATGAAGTTGAACACTTTTCCTGAACTCGTTGTGGCTCTAAACGTGTAGTCTACATCTGGTTGAAGCCCTTTCTTCACCGATGCTCCCCAAGCAATTGTTGAGTAACTGCATATATTACATATAAATTCATATTAAGAAATTTCACATTAACTATAAGTTACATACTAAAATAGTATATAGGCAACCTATGAAAATTCACTAGTTATCAATTAATTTTGAGTTAAAAGCTACAAATAATAGGCAAACAAATGGTTACAAACTCATAAACAATATAGAATCGTTTTTAATCAAATTTTTAATTATCATATGTATGAGCTTGGATTACCTTAAGGACATAACGGCTGCAGCGAGGGAGACACCAGATATGGAGTTAAAATTAGGAAGGTGAGATAGAACAAAATGCACGGAAGCAAAGATCATGATCCAAAAGCTAGTTCTGATCTCTTTGCAATCGGTGCAAAGAAGGTCATGGATTTTTTTCAATGACTTTCCTCCCGTCACCATGTACACAATGTTCNACTTCAACAATTAGCTGTTGTGGCACCACAATCCATAGTCCAAGCTTCTCTCCAAATGCGTGCTGGCCCAGCTCGTGGTACCTGTCGAACCTCTTCCCTGGAACCATCTCGTGCATCTCCACCATTTGCCATATGGTGTAAAACGTTATCACCCATGACATAATCATGACTGTCACTCCAGGTCCCCTGCCATCAAATTCATAAACCAATCAGTAATTAAAATATTAGTGGTCATGTGCAAATTGTTGTTAAAGATATGTTAACTTTTATAAAAATATTCGACTTAACATTTTTATTATTTTTGCCGGTTCTAACTTCTATGCACATTAAAAATATTTTATGATGGAAACATCATCAAATCAAAAGTAAACATGTATATTGCAAGTGTGTTTGAAATTAATAAGATATTTAGATCTTTATAAATAATCAATTTGAGATAGTTTGGTATAATACCATCCTAGGTTGGACATGGCATAGGGCAAGCTGAGTACACCAGCACCGACCATGGCTGTGACATTGTGAAACGCGGAATACCACCATTTAGCGTTTCTGGAAGACGTTATTGGCAACCACTCGTCCACTTTCTTTTGCCTTTCAGATGCAGCATCGTTTGTGGACAATTGATTTTCTCCCATATTATTTATTATTTTGGGTACAAACAACAATGCCTACCAACATGAACTGGAACCAAGAGAGGGAGAGAAAAATGTTACACACAAAAGATACTCTCAGGAACAATGTCAACACCAACGTTGTTAGATTTGTAACTTGCAATGATAAAAGCTGGTTTCTCTCGATTCATTTATACAACTTAATTCCACTATTTTGTTCTGTTTTATCTTTTAATTAGTTAAAAATAGAAAGAAGGTGTGGATACACAGGTTGTGTGTTGCCTATTCGATAAGTTAGTTCGTTTTCTGTTTCATGGCAATGCTGTGGTGTATGTTCTGTAATAACAGAACCAACCACCTTGGGTTCTTTGTATTTTCCCATATTTTGGCGTGGAGATTTTGGTAAAGTCAATGCTTCTTCAAAATGCATGAATTTCGGGGTTGCCATGTTGAGTGTTTTGCTATTATTGACCAAATATCATTGATAAGGTTTTTACCTGTTTAGTCAAATATCTATTGACTTCTTTTGTAGCAAGATTGAATTACTAATCTAGGACGGGTATAACGGTCACAACGTTTAAGATAAATAATTAATTTTAGTAAAAAAAAGATGAATAATTAATATAACTAGTAATCTAGAACGGATATATAACAACTTACAACATGTTGAGAACCCCATATTTTGGATGAAATTCTTAAAATTAAGATAACTAATTTGTTTTAAAAAAATTCCCTTTTCTTTTATTTGTAAGACCTATTTGAGAACATTTCATCAAAGATATTTTTATTGTGATACTATATAGAGAAATTGCACTCTATAGACATAAGAAAAACATAAATTCACTAAATAGCTAAAATTCCACTCTCTCTCATACTCTCTCTTCCTATCTCTCTCTACTCTCTCTCCTGAAAATCTAATTTTTTTTCTTGGCTATATGGCAAATAAGTCCCATATATATAATTTAAGAGTATTTAGATATATTCATGTTGTTTAGGATAAATATAGCCTCTTTTACATGTATCGTTTACAGATTTTTTTTTGCAGAAACAACATTTTATTAAAACTGTATTTTTAGAAAAAAACAATCAAACATAACACTGGACGTAATTAATATCGAGCTCTTTTAGAAATCTCTTTTATCATTTGAATATTTGATTTGTCATAAAATCATGTAACACAATCCTGTCTTAAATTGGTCAGAAGAAAACCAAAACTTGATAAGAAAAAAAGAAGGAGCCCCAAAAAAGAATGAAAGAAAATACTCTATAAAGGTTGATTCCATCATCTCCTAGACTTCTTTTTGCGGGCTGCCCTCTTAGTGGTCGCTTGGTTTGACTTTGAAGTTGAATGAGCTGCTTCTTGTTTATCTTGCTTGGTCACTGCACCTTGCGAGCCACGGATTTGAACTGCTCTCTTGTCCTTTCTCTTGCTTCCGTAACTTGACCTCTCCCTTCTCGGAAGCCACCTCTCAGGGTCCGGAAGTGGACCCGGATTCGCCAGATCAAATCCTTTGGGATACTTTGGTTTCCTCTTCCTTGTCCTATTTGCCTTCTCTCTGCTCTTCACTTCTTGCTGCATCGCCAAGGCTTTTGCACCAGAGGTCTTTTCTAGGTTATCCACATCAACAGCTTGTAACCCAAGTAACGGCTTTAACTGTTTCTCGTAAAATTCTGCTTTCTCCAAATTGACACGAGCAAGTGTAGTCACAAGACCAACCAGAGCATCTACACTTTTATGTTTTTTCACAATCTCCTCGTATAGCCTTGAAGCCTCCTCTTCTTGACCATGTCTAAGCTTGAAGGAAGCAGCCTCCTGCATCAATATTCTAAGATGGTTATTGTTCTCCGTCTTTAAATTTGACCACCACTTAATTGCAGCATCAAGAACAGCAGCAGCACCATCATTGTCTCCAGCTCGCTCCTTGAGGGCGACAATGGTGGCTACAGTTGCAGGAAAATGCTGAATATCAGTTATTCTGGAGAGTGATTCTGCTGCTACATGAGGATGATTGGCAGAAGCAGCAATTTGTGCCCTGGTTAAGAGAACCAACTTAGACTTTTCCGGAAACTTTTCAGCACACTGTCCAAGAAGTTCTTCGGCTTTTGCAGCCTTGTTCTCTTTCACCAAAAGAGCAGCTTGAAGCAATGTTGGAACAACACTCTCAGGAAACATGCTCAGCAGTGTAGCACAAAGTTCTCGTGCCTGTGGTAAAGATTCTCTTAAATGGTCAAGCCAAAATAAGCAAAGAAGAAAAAAAATGTATAAACTATATATTCAAGTTAAAAATGGTTTTGGCCTTTTTTGCATAGGTTAAACCTCTAAATTATGGAAAAAAATACTACAAAGGTTCTTACAAAATATTTATAAATCCCAAATTCACTGAAAGTACCTGATCCATTTTATTTGCATGGAGGAGCAGAAGGACACGGTTAGCATATATAGCTTCCTTTTGTTTATGTGAAAGCTTTGCATCAAGTGTTTGAGAAAGCTGAAAGGTTAGGGAGTCTTTTTCTTTGAGATGATCAAACTTCCCCAAGCTATCAGAAATATCTTTGGAACCTTTCAAGGCAATAAGGTTGTTCACAGCAACAGCAAGTGACGGTTCATCGGCCAGGTTTCTTTTAATGATGTCTACATAAGAGCTGGTGGATTCTTGAGTTTTTCCAAGGACCTGATGTGAAAAAAAAAAAATTTTACTAAGAACTGGAAGATATCTTGACAGGAAGTTAAGGGTAAAAAAAAATTACCTGTTGGACATATGCTAATTGTACAGTAATTGGAGCAAGCTCAGTCTCTATATCCTCATCAACAAAATCTTCATCCGTGAGGGTTTCTTGACCAATTCTGTCTCAAACCAACATAAATCAGGAACTGAGTAAATTGTAAAAAATTGCAAAATCAGTAGTATGAATTGTTGATAACATGAAGAAAATAGTGTATACATCCCTACGCATTAGAATGATGTGATTGATGAAAAGCATGATGTTCAGTATTAACAACTGATTATATAGTGTTAAGTACCCTTTAGCAGCGAGCAAAAGTTGTTCTGCATCAGCATAGTTACAATTTTCAATGAAAGAGCAAGCAGTGTTAAAAGCCAACTCAAAGCTACTAGTTGGCTTTATCCTCCTAGACTCCAATGCTCCTTGCACTTGAGAAGATTTACCAGCTGAAACCAAACCAGCCACGAAATTTACCTCTGCCTATTAAGAGAACAACAATTCAAAGCCTAACCATTCCTTCCAAGTAAACCAAACTATTGAGATGAAATATAGTTTGATTAAACTGACCTTATGAAACCCTAGATCGATGGGAAGCTTAATGGAGTGAATGAAAGAGAGAGCATCATCGATCTTATCGTCTTTCAAAAGAGCTACAACTTTGCATCGGATAGCATCCTCATCGGCAGGTGCAATCGCCAAGACTGAAAACAGTATCACAATTTCAGTTTCACTACTATAAGATCAAGAATTATAGGAGGAAGGATGTGTAGAATACCTTGATCAGCGACTTTGACGACTTGTTCATATTCAGATCGTTTGATATGAATATCGAGAGAAGTGAAGAGGTCTTCGATTGCATGAGATGGCATGGTCCAAGCCCTTTCGTGGTGCTCAAGCTTGTAAGTTAAGAAAATACAGGAAAATTATTTGAAAACCAAACAGATAAATACGTTTAGGAAAAGAAAAGATAATTATAACAGTGGAGAAGGTTTATTATCGATTATTATTATAAATAAATGGATAATCACTAAGCAGATTTATCGAGTATTTGAACTTTTCTACAACAAGTAAGTTTACAGAATTAAATCGGTGCCAAAATAATTTTTACTTTTATTGATAAAATACTTTTAACTTTACGTGATATATTGTTCCTTTTAGTTATGATGATCTTTTTTTGTAAGTAGAAAAGTGAATAACAAAGATATTGTTAGGACTAATGGTTTGGTAGCATGATCAGTAATGTTAAGACTAATCTTATGTACCACCGTCGTAGCCTTGATTTCTCAGAAATTACCAATATCAAGCTCGGTTGTGTTACCAATAGAATATTAGATGATATAAACCATAATAAAACAATGTATATCATCTAATATAGAATAATATAGTTTCTTTATGTGTGTCTAATATAGTTTTTTGGATAGAAGATAATTGATCGAGTAGTCTTCGACATGCCCAATTGTATTTTCAAAACCTAGATTGTTGCTAAAGAATTTGCACCATATTTCATTTATAAAAAAAAAAAGAATATTTTCTGGACACCATTGATTTGAAATAAATTGCTGGTAGGTGAAGTAGTTAATGAATGATAGTCTTTACTTGAGAGAAACACCGTTTATTTGAAACAAATTGCTGAGAGTTGACTCATGGAACTAAATAAATACAACTAAAATTAAATAAGTAAAGTTTGTGGTAGGAAATTGTTGTACAACTAATATTTAAACGAATCTGGTTTCATCAACTATTTCATCAATACAAGCTTAGTGTTTTCTCTACATTTTGTGATCAAACAAGTAAATATCAATCAAAAGATGAAAAAAGGCAAGACTGTGATTTTAAATGTACTCATAATGAGCTTTGTCATGGCGCAAATTCAAGTAGAAGCAGAAAAGATCTGTTGCCGTACCACTGGAGCAAGAAATAAATTTGATTCATGCAGGGCTCAAGGTATCCCCGTGGGCTTTTGTTTACGATTCACTGATTGCATACTCTTTCCTGCCAATACATGCCCAGCAGAATTTCCGGCGAATCGTCTCGAAAACTCTGGTTAAACTGCAATTGAAACAGCCTAAACAACCATATCCTCGAAGATATACCACGTCTAAGTTTGAGAGTGTGTTGTTCTTGCGTTCAGAGAGCTGTGTGCTAGTATTTTAATAAAAGCCTTTTTCTGGTTTGTGTGTATGTCGTAGAAGGTTGTCGATCATCCGTTCTACTTCCTATCAAATAAATATCATGGCTTAAAAATTGGTTAATTTGAACATACAGTAAGAGGAAAAAGAAACTAAATTTGGTTAACTGGCCTAGCTCATTTTCTACAATACTTTCCTTAACTTGCTCTCCGCCAGTTTACTTGTTGCTGAAAAACAAATTAAGATTGTTTCCGTTACAACTTTATACAGTACAATAACATAAATCTCTTGATTTATTGAAGACTTAATGTTTAATCACATAACTTCTTTTATCGTTTCATCGTCCATGGGAGATGAAAGAATTTGTGAACGGTAGTGTACTTATTGAGTTCATACCAAGTAGCATTTCCATTGATATCTCAGGCTGTCCTCTCAATCTTTCAGCCCTTACCACATCAAGAAGATTATCCGGAAGCTGCAAAACGCCATTCAAGATCCGCATAACCGCACTCATATCGGGTCTAACCGATTCAGCCTGATGCGAACACAACACACCTAGCTTCAAAACAAGCTCAATCTCACCCCTGTTTGGTTCTTGACGGATACTTTCCTCAGATGCATCAAAAAGTTTCCCTTCTTCCCAAAGCTCTAAGATCCAATCCACAAGAACTTCTTCGTTCTTCGCCTCACGCCTCTCGATCAGCCTTCTACCGCAAACTACTTCAAGCATAACCAACCCAAACGCGAAAACATCGGTGCTGGTAGTCGCTCTTCCTGTTCTTAGAAACTCAGGCGCGATATACCCGAACGTTCCCGCCACTTTAGATGTCTGAGGATCAATCCCCTGATCATACAGCTTCGCTAGTCCGAAGTCCCCGAGCCTCGCATTCATTTCTTGGTCGATCAAAACATTACCCGGTTTTATATCTCGATGAATAATGACTTGCACCCATTCTTGATGCAAATACATTAGAGCAGACGCAACGTCTTTGATGATCTTTAAACGTTGATTCCAAGATAGACGTTCTTGATTCTCATTCGCGTCACTACGGTATATATACTTGTCTAGGCTTCCATTGGGCATGAAGTCATAAACCAAGAAGAGATCATCTTTATGTCTACAATATCCCAAAAGCCTTACTAAGTTTGGATGTCTAAGTCGACCAATGGTCGATATCTCGGCGATAAACTCGCTCTTTCCTTGACTTGAACCATGACAAGTCCGTTTCACCGCAATCTCTGCATCGGAACCCGGAAGTGTTCCTCTATAGACTTGACCAAAACCTCCACTTCCAAGAACTTGCTTCTCCTTAAAACCCTTTGTGGCATTGTAAAGCTCCTTATATGCAAACCTGTGAGGTCCATACTGAACCTCCCATTCCTCAAGAACCTCTTTGACCTTCTTATGCCTCATATAAAAGAGGAAACCAATCAAAGAAGTTACAAACGCAACGATCACGGCCAATACTAAACAAACAGCTAAGATCATCCTTGTTTTATCGGTCACCTTCTTCGGATATGGAGGAAGGGTGGGGACTACACTTATATCAAAGGACGGATAGTCCACACCAGGACCAGAGACCGAGTTTAACATATAATGGATTGCTCCGACCGAACCGGTTGATGCCGTGAAGCCAAGATACATCTCCTCCAAAATGTAGGGTGAGAGATCTCGTTTTAAAGACAAAAGAGGTTTCCAGGGAGTGTCAGAGAACTCAGCAGGGCTTAACGTAACATCGAGCTGTTTATCAGGGTGGCTATAAACGATAGAAAGCCGCATAACCTTTCCACTTATTAAAGAAAGATTATAAAACTTTCCATCATTATCATCATAGTAACCAGCAGGACGAGAGACAATAGACCTCAAGCTATTGATGTTGATCCCAACATGGTTGTCATTAATATCTCCAAACTCATCGTCTTTATTTATATCTAACTCGATAGCTATTATGTTATTAGAGGTTTTGTTACCGTTGGTTGTCTTGTTGAATAATCCGAGGTACTGGTCGGAGGAAACTCCTGGAAGGTGTCTTGTTGGGGAGAGAACGCAAGTCATGCCGTGTGAGCCGGAGTTGTTATGCTCAGGGATGATTGCGAAGTGGACGTGGATGTGGAAAGACAAGTTCTTGAATAAAACGGGGTTAGTGTTGAAAACGTGACCGTATGAATGCTTTGTGGTGTTAGTTAACTTGGTGAAACCGCTTAAGTCGAAAGATGCAGCTCCCTCCAGGATCAGTTTGCCATTGGAGTTGTAAGTTGATGAAGACAGAGTAAAGAACAGAACAAGAACTATGAATTCACGAGACATTTTCTGGTTTTTGTTCTTTTTTTTTCTTTTTTGATTATGGGAAGAGTTTGATCTTAGTGTGATATTTATATATCATTTCATAGTAGTTAAGTAAGAATATAACAATGATGGGAACGAACGTTCTTGTGTTATTCCTTGCTATCCATAAGAAAAACATTTATATATACACACACGCAAGAAAAACAAGTCGTAAAGCAATCAAAAGTTATCTTCTAATCCTTTTATTTGATTAAAAAGCAAATTATAGTGGGGATTGGTAGAGCGCGTCTTGATATAAGAAGAATAATTATGGGTCAAAAACTGCATCTTAAGTATTCAAGGATTAAATAATAACAATACTGTAATGCATAAAAAAGGTAACAATTAAAACAAAACTCTCTTTTCACAAACAAAGTTTCGTAGAACATTACACATCCATTTTATTAGGAAAAAGAAACAATCACAACAAAGCTTTTTTCCTTTTCACGACTAAAGTTTGGACGATAAAATATACACGCTTTTGGGCATGTTTTAATGTACGCTCAGGGGTGGCTCTATGGATTTGTGGGAAGAGCCTATGCCCAGGATCTACGCCAGACTTTGAACGAGTCCAACCATATAAAAGATTGTATTAGAAAATATCGAAATTTTTATTTACTTATGATTCTATGAAAATTGAAGCCGATCTTGACTGGTATGAAATGAAGAAGTGAATATATGTCACACAAATGAAATGGATTTTAGACCCAAAAAATAGTCATGCATTAATGGTTTATATTTATATATAAAAAGTAGTACTATATACTATATTTATGTCACCCTACTCAAAAAATGAGAAATCATAGAAAAGGACTAATCATAAATCACACATTAAATAACAAAAGCTTCTTCCAGCCTATACAAACTGATTACATTATGAGAAGGAGACTAAGAGGCACGACATTTTTACAAACACAATGTGTCAATGAATAATGAAACAACATACTCATGGTCTTCATTTTGTTAGAGATGTGTGAAGAAACGTGACATTTTTTACTTGATTCATCCTGACCAGGTGAGTTTTGTCTGACAATCATGTTAATGTGTAAAATGTAGTTTCTTGAATGAATCACTAGAGGGCGTTATGCTCTATCTTTCTTTCAAGGGCTGCTGACACTGTTTCTTTCTATTTAATGGACTTAGAAGGTTGATCAATGAGCTATTGCATCGCGTTTCTCTTTGTTGAATATTTTCTGTGATGTGAGATCTCGGTTATGATTTACTTATTGAGGCTGTTTATGTTGAAGAATGTCAAAACTAGAAAACTAGGGAATCCGTGTCAAGATCTTGATATTGGTAATAAATCTGCGGGACTTCCCAGCTCTGTTATAGCTCACTGTGTAGTTGTAACACTGCCCAAATGCTTTTTGCTTCTTGATTAATATGGCTTATTAGGTGAGTGTTTTGATAGGTACCCTTGTACGTTGCGACAAAGATGACTAAGATTAGGAGAGCATCTTTCTTAGTTGCATCTCCAGAGGGTTACGCAAAGGCAGCACTGCGTTTTGTAGGCTACGAACCACGTTGCACATTAGTGTCGCACCAATTTAGTTTATCAATTCCATTAGTAGTTAACATTAATCATGTGTATAGAGAGTCGATAGACAATAAACGTATTATACTGCAAACTAAAATTACCACCACTTTGCAATATATGAAGTGCTGTGATCTAAGCACACTAGTGATTCTTGCATTGTAAATTTAAGAAGCAACACAATCTAACTCTATTTCCAAAATTTATGTTTTACCAAGATATGCATCCCAGCTTGCAAGTAGTTCATTTCATCCTCACAAAATAACTAACTGTTTCTATAATCTCATATCTAGGAGAGTTACATTAAATCATAGCAAGAACAACACATGCAAATGTACAATAAAAATGCAGACATTTTCATCCTAAATAAGATACAGTCACTAGACATATGTTTAAGTTTTGGTGTAGATTGTATCAACAAGAAATTATGGTGAGATGATCTTAGAACCTAGTTACAGCTAAAACTGAGTAAACACTAGTAAGAGAACAAGAATATTTTTGTCCAAAATTTAACCAGAGAATCTGTCCATAAAACAAAGGATTTAATTTTACATTTTGAATCCCAACAATGATTTTAAATATTATCAATAATAACAAGATTATTACTTATTCCTCATTTTGTTGAGCTGGTTCAAAGCAGGCTGCAATATATTGTAAAGAACCCAAAGCAGTGCCGGTGCAACAACGAACAACAACAACTGTCCCCTATTATCCTCAACCTTCGCCGCCGCTGCCGCCACCGCCGCCATCTCATTAACCATCCTAGCCGACGCCTCGGGAGGCACAGTCAAAAGCCCCGACGCAGCGAGACCACCACCACCGATGCCGAGACCCACGACGATTCCTTTGCTCGCACGCATCTTGTTGATCTGGTTAAGAGCCGGCTGGAGGATGTTGAAGAGGACCCACCCTATGGCCGGGACGATGGGGAGGAGGAGAGCTAGGCCACGGTTGTCGCTGCCTTGAGACGCGGCGGCGGCGGCGAGCTGAGAGATTTGGTGAGCGGCGAAAGCGGGTTCGGAGTAGCTGAGGGCGGAGAAGACGGCGCCGGCGAGGGCGGTGCTGGTGACGGTGAGGGAGACGGTGGGTTTTGGTGGGGTTGGGAGGGAGATGGAGGTTTTTGCGGGTTTGGTTTGGTTTTGGAGTTTGGTCGGAGGAGATGTGTTTAGGGACATGCATTTTGCTGATGTTGCCATTGTCGCTGCCATTTTGGTCGGAGAGGTTTGAAGATGAGAGGAGTATAGAAGAGAGGATGCAATGGAGATGAAAGGCTTATGGATGATACTTGAGGTCTTATCCAATGAGATGAGAGTGTTGGAGATTTTTGTGAGTTTTGAGCCACATGTTCTATGCTTTTTCTTATCACTTCCACATAATTTACACACCTAATTTTTAATATCTTTGTTACAAGACTCTTTGGATTATTATATAACTCTTTCCTTTTTGCACTGAAAATCTATTTTATTTATTTTTTCTAGACCTGAATATTTATTAATCAAAAAAAATTAATTAATTAATAAATATTCGGGTCTACACAAAAAAATAAATAAAAAAGATTTCCATTGCAAAATCTTTTTCAAAAATCATGTATTATATTTTGGTCGACATTATATCTTATATATTAAAACAGAAGTCATGACTTGACTTTATGTGTGATTTTATTAAAAATGGACTATTACTAGAAAGTTATGTTACATTAACTCTCTAATAATCTTATCATTATTATATCTTATGAAAAATCATATCTATAATAACAAAGATACGCTTAACAATTTGGTTTTGGTAAATTACCCCACATTTTCCAACTTAGTCACGCAAAATATGTTAATATATATAAGTTTAGAAATCTTCTATTATTTATAAGGAAATATGTCAATAATAGTTAAATACATCCACAATCTATTAACAAAAATCACAGATTAGTAATATGAAATATCCTCTAACAAAATTTACACGTTTTATATACTAGATAAATTTATTTCGATGTAAATTTTTAAAATTAAATTATTTTTAATAAAAAAGGTTTAAAAAATTATTTTTAATAAGAAATGTTTAAAAAATTATTTCTAATAAAATTATTTAAAAATGCTTTTAATAAAATTCTTTATAATATTAATTTATGAAGCTATAAGTTTATTTTTTAGCAAAAATTTCTTCGAAGTTTATATTATCTTTTCAAAATAAAGTATACTAATATTTAATCAAGTTCTATTTATATTACTTTATCTAAAAATGAAATATTAATCTAATAAACAATAAAATATAGAAGAAGAAACAAACACATGTTTGAAAAACATGTATAATATAGAAAAATTGAAACAATCTNTTCTTCGAAGTTTATATTATCTTTTCAAAATAAAGTATACTAATATTTAATCAAGTTCTATTTATATTACTTTATCTAAAAATGAAATATTAATCTAATAAACAATAAAATATAGAAGAAGAAACAAACACATGTTTGAAAAACATGTATAATATAGAAAAATTGAAACAATCTATTTGATTAAAACGCGTATTATATATTATTATTATGTTTGAAAAACATTTTACTATACATATCGTAAATATGTGATTACTATAATATATACCAATTTACAAGTGAAAACAAAATGTTTATATAACTAACTATAAACGAAAACAAACACCCGCGCGGTTGCGCGGGTCAAAATCTAGTTTGGGTTAATGTTGATTTATCATTTGGTTGCTGACTGGTGACACTAGTTAGTCTATCATAATATTTGCCATTTTGCCATGTCGTTTACCAGTTGAAATTTAACTTTTTTTTTTTACTATTTTATTCTTTTTACATTTACTTCAAAATAAAACAAACGATAGGCTTGGGCTTTGGTATAGAACAAGTCGACTGACATAATATATCTCCAACCGTGGACGCTAACACACCTATTCGCTTTTGTGGAAAACGTACTGTATAACATTGTCGAAGCATTTCTCTCCCCCCACTTTCATCGCTTCTCTATCATTATTATCACGATCGGTGTTCATCACTACTTACCATTAAAGTTAGCCTTTCTATTTACTAGATGGAAATGCATATTATTGTAATAAGAATGAAGCTCTTGGCTATTTGGGAGTTAGATCATAGGAACCGAACAATGCATTAACTGTGTTTTGCTTATTCTTAGTGAGTCATATAAATCATTTGGTTGGGTTCTGCACAACACGAAGCAGTGCCCAATGGCTACTACTACTACATCCCTTCTGATACATGACAACTCCATAGCATCATCCCCGAGAATCCCATCGCGTCTATGAGTTGCCATTGCCTTTCTTTCTCGGTTTATTGAGCAGTTTACATCACCATTGGTCAATAGCGGTCCTCACTTGCAAATGACCAGAAGTTTTTTTAGAAAAAAAAGCCGATAATGTCCCAACCTTTGTTCGAATTGGAGTTGCTAGGCTCAGATTGCTTAATAGAAACCACTAGACTAAAGAAATATTTTGTCAAAAATTAGTCAAAATTTATATATATTTTTGAAAACCAGAAGTCCATACTTCTAATGCTTCCTATCAGGACCGGGCCTGCCATTGGTCTTTGACTGATCTTAAGTAAGTAGTTGTACATAGTAAAAGGAAGGTAATGACAAAAGATGGTTATGGTTTCTTCTTTTGTTAGTTCGTACATGGACCTGAAGCTCTAGCCCATGGGTAGAGTACAGGCCCAATAGCATTTAATCCATGATACCTAAACGATTCAAGCCATACATCTCTTATCCACCAACAGTTTAAAACTAGCCTATGTTTTTGTCAACTTGAATGCAGATAAGACTCCAGCAAAATGTTGAGTACAGGGTCGATTTGAAGTAACTGATTTTGGAATAAAGAAACATTAGGTGATTGTTATCCTACTTGTTAGAAAACAGCATTTGTACTATACAATTATGACAACTCGTAAAAGTTTAAAGGTTATATGATGATTTGGGATAATAATCATCATAATTATCTAGGTAATTAGTGTCTTATACCATTACAAAGATTCATCATTAAAGTGGGTGACTATAATTTTGTAGTGATGATTCCATACTGAATAACACATGATCCAATCATTTGAGGGTTTGACATTTCATTAAGTAAACTTTTTAGCAATCTGCCGCATACCATATGTTATACAAAATTCTATTGATCCATAGAAATCAGTACTAGCGTTATAAACTCTCACTGAAACCTAATATAGATTCAAGTGGATAATCCCGTGATGATTATCAAGTATTTATTTTTTCAAATACTGTTGTTGAGAGCTACATCAAATTAAATGCTTGACTTTCTGCTAATCAAACAAAGTGGGCAACCACAATTTAACAAGTCATTAAATACTCACAAGAACACAAACATATGCTTTTATAATTGCTATTCAAAGTTCATTAGTAATATCTTTTGTCAACAGTTACATGATATTTTAACAAGAGACTACGATATTTTAGGGAGGCCGGGAAAAGAAAAATAATTCATGGTAAGAAATGTCAATAGCGATATGAGATCAATGATTATGATCAGCACATGGCTGCAAAAAAGGCCATGTGACTCCCTCTTTTGTGTCACCATTTCTTCAGGGCTCTTATCTATTCATAAATAATGTCCATACTACATATTTAATGGTTCATGTTTTTTTAATATAGTTCGTTACGATGACTAATGTAAGAACAGAGTTTAACATTCTATTATTCAGTATCAGGATATTCGTCTAATCATTTGTATTTCTCAATAATTAGAATGCATTTTCTTGTCTTTGAATATTTCGTTTCGACCGCCTGTCTCCAAGCCAACGCTTTCCGCGTACGTATATGGACCGTGGACGTAGACTAATCTTCCGAAGTAGAAGACAAATAAACAATATAAAAATATAGTTAAAACCTCGATTTAATGTGCCTGATTGTGAATTACAATTTTTCAATTGATTAACCGAATTCAATTCATAGACTCCTTAAAATGGCTAATCTATTGCGGTAGCTTATATCTTAAGCCACCGTAATGTTGTTAGATCCTTTAATCTAGGGCATGTTGGTGATAAATAAACAAAATAACAATCAGACATGGGTAGAAATTAAGTTCTGAGTAACTATAATGACCTAATTCACGTAAAATTAATACAAATTAGGTATGGTTTTACCATTTGAAAAATGATGACAAAATTTCTTATTATATTAGATGGAATGAACACAAACCGTTCTGCTTGACCACTGTATAATATATTTTTTTAAACAGTATATATCACACAAGTTAACCATGATCAGAATGTGTATCTTGCCCCATCGTGTTGAAAATTTTATAACTTCAGTTATTTTATTTCTTCATAAAAGACCCTGATCATACTCACCGGTGAAAAAATACATTCCACAATCCCTTCAGGATGGGCATACATGTTTGTTGATGAAATCGTGAAATAGAGAAGAATACAAATAATTATCAAAGAGGTATGTAAGTTAATGTTTTTACCGTATATAGAGAACTTTGAGAACACCATCCTTCACTTCTCTCTAACGGCGTGGCAACATATATTTACATGTCTTTGTCGTCTCGTGAAACATTGGATTCTGCTAATGGGAAGAGCTACAATGTTGTCACGGTATAATTCAGCAGCGTGAGGAGAATTAGTATCAAGATCATAGGTAATATAGATATATAATTAAACAGTCTAGTAACTTACTTTAGAAATTAGAAACTAGATTGCTTAATTATATATATATATATATATATATATATATATATATATATATATATATATATATATATATATATATATATATATATATATATATATATATATATATATATATTACCTATGATCTTGATACTAATTCACATAATTAAACAATGTAGCAATTTAATTCTGCTTTTGGTAAAATTGTGACAATATAAAAAACTCTTTATCAAAACAAAATTAGATCAGCAACATTTTCTTATTGAGTTGTTATATCTAAATCTCAAATATTTTATCGTTCTTTGAAATGTTATAACCCTTTCTAGTACATTTATTTATATCATGATCAACTGAGAACAAAAAAAATGTAAGTTTTGATTAGCAACCAGCAAAGGATGGAAATATTCTATAGTATTATTATGAAATAATAATATATAATCATATAAATATCATTCTAAAAACAAAATAAAATCTACGAGAACATGCCTCTTCCACTTTCACCATTTCATTCTGAATATTTTGTCTCGCTTTTCTAATATGATTATTTGGTCAGTGATCACGTTGGCTTGAGAAATTAGGAGCATACAGCCAATTTAAACTACGGTTTTCTAAAAAAACCGGTGGCGCGA